AGGTAGTGTGGAGGATTTTGCCTCTTTATACACCATCATTCATGTAGATGTGAGTAAGCATAAGGAGAAGCTGAGGAACAGCTGTGCTGATATCGAACTTCGATGGAGACTTGGAAAACCGTTTGAGTTTCCCACTGGTACAGCTGCTTCTTACCAAACCATCTGTTTGATTCTCTCCGAACGTCATCTCAAACTCAATGGTATGAATGGTAAAATGAGTGTTGTGGTGTAAGAAAAAAGATAATAGTAGATAGGAACCATGAATGAGTTGGAAAAGGACATTGAGATTTTATTAACAAAGGAACTAACACAGAAGAAAGGTGGTAGTATCGGTTCTGTGATCGGAAGATTGGTTGGGAAGATATCTCCACTTGTGATCAAGCATGCCCCCAACATCCTTGGTACACTTGGACTGGCTGGTATTTCTGGTGCTATTTCTGGAAGCACACACAGAGCCACAGCTGGTCGGGGAATCGGTCAGTATGTAGAATATGGATTCATGCTAACTCCAAACCAAAAGAAGAAACTTGGTAGTGCTCATGATGGAATCACACTTCGGTTAACAAAAAATCAGTTATCCGGAAATGACATGCTTTTGCTCACAAACCGACAGCTTACCAAAATCAAAAAATCCAAGCAAAAAGGAGTAGGAATGGATCTCAAGTTATCCAGTACTCAACTCAAGAAGCAAGGTGGGTTTCTCGGAGCATTAGCAGCTGGATTATTAGCACCAGCTCTGGGAAAAATGATAGGTTTAGGAAACACCGGTGAAGGATTACAACTTCCTGGAACACGGAGGGGTAGAGGGGTAAAAAAAGACCAAAAAGGAAAGGGGTTACGTCTACCAGGAACGTGAGACCACTGACCAACTTTGACATTGATAAAATGCTGAGATCTATTCCACATTTCAGAGGAACTTTCAGCAAAGATCAGCTTCCACAACCTCTATCATCAAAGGATTGTTTGGTAATCAATCTCCAAGATTTCTTGGACGGTGGTGGTACTCACTGGGTTTGTGTGTTTGGTAATGAATATTTTGACAGCTTTGGCTTATCACCACCAGAGGAGGTAGTCGGGTGGGTGAAGAAGCACCATAACAAATGTTGGTATAACTCATCAAAGATACAGATGATAGTGTCCTGTGTGGATACCACTGTATACATTTCATAGAAGAAAGAAACAAATGCAGAAGTGCTCTTGATGTCTTGTTGGATTTCACTCAACACCCCAGTCAAGAAAATGAGCAGTTGGTATTGAAAAAAGGGGAAGAAAAAAAAGAGATATAAAAAGATAAATAAAGAAAAACACAACAACTTTTTTTCTTTCACTAGTTCCTTTTTCTTTTTTGGTATTCATTGTATAAGCATCATCAATTTTATCATTCACGGAGCTTGTGGAACATCGTTTTTTCATGACGGGATTTGTTGTTTCTTGAATAAGACTTCTGACATTTCTCACAGACAATTCTTTCATTGGCATATTGTCTGTTTTTCTTGTGATTATCTTGATACCACTCTGATTGGGATCTTCCAGGCTTGTTTTTATTCACGGTATCCAGTTTTTCGATCCAGTATCGTTCTCTCCTCTTAAGCTCATCTTTATCAAACATTGATAGAGAGTCAATCTCAACATTTTCTACATGTCCGAGATCAAGCAGAATGAATGATGTCACAAAATTATGATTACCTTTTTGATATGCTCTGAAAGTGGATCTATGAAGATACATCCTATTTTTCAGTGGTAGACAAGTGGAGCCCACATATACCTGATCGGTGTGTTGGCTTACAAGTTTGTAAATCTTACAAGGGGAAGTCATCTTTGCTGATAGAAAATCTTTGGAATTCTCATCGGTATACTTCTGTACAACAGGATTCAAATAACCGTTTATGATGATAATTCGGTGTAGAAAAAAAGAGGAGAGTTGGTCAACTCTTTTCTCTTCTCTTCTATTTTTTCTTACAAATATTCATCAATATCATCCTGAAACTTCTCTAACAGGTGATTGTTGGTGTAGGAACTACAGATTCCTCCATACTTTGGATTTTCACAAATTCTCAGGAAAATGCTTGGGATGATATTCATTTGTTCATCAAGAGCATTTTCAAACACATCATCATATAAACCACTGGTCATTGAATCATCCATCATTATTCTATCAATCATCTCATCTTCACTTTTATCAATGTGATTAATAAATGATTCCATATCCTCCCAAGGATCACCACAATCAGGAGTATCAGGTTCATAGTCAAAGTCCTCATAGGAGAAATAGTCACTTGGAAAAGACACAGCCATCGTTGTAGGTAATTGATTTTACAAATTCTATCAAACTTGTTGGATCTTACCCTATAGTATGAACAGTTTAGATAACATAATTGGTGATATGGGTGGAAGGAAAGAAAAAAAGATAGATAGACAAACATGAAAATGTATCACATAATCTGCCGTGGGACAGTTGGGTTTGGATATTCTCTCTCCAACATTCCACATTTCCGTGGAAATATTCTGGGGGTGAGTTTGGATCTCACGAAAGATGATCAGGAGCATGACACGATCAACATCCACATATTTACCATAAATCCACAGATTTTTCTATCATTGACAAAAGCTGAGCTTGACAAGATGGATAATGGAAATTTCAGACTTGTTTGTGTTGATAGGATTGATGAGAGCTTGGAAGTTCACTGTGAAAATATGGGATTGTTGAAACATCTTTGTATACATGAGAAATAAAAAAGTAGATAGATAGATTAAGATGAATGTTCATTGCCTATCGTGTAAGAAAAAGCAACAGATGAGAGGGATACAAGGAGAAGTCACATCAACTGGTCAACCATATGTCAAGGGTAAATGCTCAGTATGTGGTCGATCGTGTTCACAATTTATCAAGAAATCGGAAATCAGAGAAGGTGGATTCCTGTCTGGTTTGTTCAAGATGATAGGTTTAGGAGTAAAAAAAAAAAAGATAGGAAATGGACGGACGATCTGGCTGATGAGTTACACAAGCCAAAGCGTGTGAATTTCACTAGGAGACAAGTGACTGTGAGTGAGATTGATGAAATCTGGTCCGCCGATCTCGTGGACATGACAGCTTTTCGTAAATACAATGATGAAATCAAATTTCTGCTTACTGTCATTGATCTGTTCAGCCGATATGCTTGGGTTGTTCCACTCGAATCCAAGAAAGGTGTTGACATCCAATCAGCATTTCGATCCATCGTGAAAACTAGCAGCAGGAAACCACGTAAGCTGTGGGTTGATCAGGGTACCGAGTTCTATAATCGAACGTTCAAACACTGGCTTGATGAGAATCAGATCACGATGTACAGCACTCACAACGAAGGAAAGGCTGTTGTAGTTGAGCGTTTCAACCGAACTCTGAAAACTAGGATGTGGAAATACTTCAGTGCTAACTCCACCAGCAGGTACATCGATGTCCTTCCACATTTGGTAGAGAAGTACAACACGACAAAACACAGAGATGTTCGGATGACACCAACTGAGGCATCACGGGAGAAGAACGCTGATCGAATCCGTGACTCACTGGGTGAGAAATCTCCACTATCCAGGTCCACTAAATTCCAGAGAGATGACCACGTCCGACTGGTGAAGCAGAAACGACATTTCGAGAAAGGATATACTCCGAACTGGACTGAGGAGGTATTCAGGATCACCGATATTCTCCCGACCAGACCCACTACGTACTCTGTCAAGGACCTCGATGGTGAACCCGTTGATGGGTCGTTCTATGAACAAGAGCTCCAGAAAACTACTCAAGAAATCTACCGGATCGAGAAAGTGCTCCGAAGGGACAACAAGAAGAAACAAGCCCTTGTGAGGTGGAAAGGCTACTCAGTAAGATTCGACAGCTGGGTCCCGTTTGATCAACTCAGCTGGTTTTGATCACGGATCACAGCAGCAGATTTGTTTGTAGAAAAAAAATCACGGGTAGACCTACTAACTGTCAACAACACCGGATTCGGACTCTTGTCAGTACTAATAGACATAAACAACTACATATGTGTTTGACCCCGATAGCCTGGTTGGTAAATCCACAGGATAAGAAATCGAAAGTCACGGGTTCGAACCCCGGAAACTGAGATCACATGCCACAATGCGCATGTCTGAATCCTGTTTCACGAAACTGAGACCACATGCCACAATGCGCATGTCTGAATCCTGTTTCACAACAAGAAACTGAGACCACATGCCACAATGCGTATGTCTGACTGGCACATCAATCATATCGTCGGATTTTACGTTGATGTAGCAGCATATCAGCCAATGAGAGGTAAATCCTACATTGATTTACCGAACGAGCTCAAGAAAAAGAAGGCAATCATCAATGTCAAGAATAAGGATGATAAATGTCTGATGTGGGCACTGCTCTCAGCTCTGTATCCAGCAAAGAAGCATAGTGACAGGGTAACTCAGTATACAGACTATAGCAACAAACTTGATCTGTTCGGAATCGATTTTCCAACACCACTGAGTCAAATTTCCAAAGTCGAGAAGCAAAACAGCCTAGCTATCAATGTCTTTGGGTATGAGGATAACGTGATCTATCCACAAAGAAAAGAGGTGTGAAAGTGATCAATCTTCTACTATACCAAAAAGAAGATCAGAATCACTACTGTGGGATCAAAGATTTCAGCAGATTGTGCTACGATCAGTCAAAGCATAAAGCCAGGAAATTCTTCTGTACAAGATGTCTCCAACCACACAACACAGAGAAATCCCTGAGCAATCATCAGGAGTATTGTGATAATGTCACTGGATTATCAGCACTCATGGTACTACCAGAACCGGACGACGATGGAAATCAACCAACACTGAAGTTCATTAATCATCACAAAATGCTACAATGTCCCTATGTAATCTATGCTGACACTGAGGCACTGATCAAGAAAATTGATGGAGTGAAAAGCCAACAAACCAGCCGGGATTCACAGCATGTTCCTTGTGGTTTTGGTTACGTCGTGGTGCGTTCTGACGGAGTGATGACAAGTCAGTGTTTCTACCGGGGTGTTGATGCTATGGATGTATTCTTTGATAAACTCAAAAATGAGGAGAAGAAAATCCAATCAGCACTCAATAATCCAGCACCGATGGATCTCACTAAGGAACAAGAAGAATTGTTCAGAGAGACAGAAGACTGTTGGATTTGTAAAAAGAAACTTGGTGAGGACAGAGTCCGTGATCACGACCACATCACTGGTGATTTCCGCGGTGCCGCACACAACGACTGTAACATCAAACTCAGAATTTATCCATACAAGCAGCACATCCCTGTGGTTTTTCACAACCTGAAGGGCTATGACAGTCATCATCTCATTGGAGCAATCGGAAAGACAGATGTTGAGACCGTCACATACACAAACAAGAATGGTGTACGTAAGAGTAAAACTGTGGGTGAGATATCAGTCATTCCCAACAACATGGAGAAATTCATCTCATTCACATGGAGACAGTTCCGGTTCATCGACAGCTGCCAGTTTCTCAATGCGTCACTCAATAGACTGGTGAAAACGACACCAGATGAGCCATTCACTTTCACCAAGACGTTGCCAAACCATCAGCTGTTGATGAGGAAAGGAGTATACCCCTATGAGTACATGAACAGCTTCTCCAGGTTCGATGAGACTCAGCTACCAGCACAGAGTAAGTTCTATTCTTCACTGTCTGATGAGGGGGTGAGTGACGATGACTACAAACATGCTGAGACAATGTGGATGAAATTCGACTGTCAGACTCTTGGTGATTATCACGACTTGTATCTCAAGACTGACGTGTTTCTCTTGGCTGACATCTTCGAGAATTTCAGAGTACAAGCTGTCAGAACGTATCAGCTGGATCCAGCAAATTACTACACTTTGCCTGGATTTGCCTGGGATGCTCTGTTAATGTACTCAGGTGTGTCCTTGGAATTACTAACAGACTATGATCAGCACTTGTTTGTAGAATCAGGAATGAGAGGTGGTGTGTCGATGGTCTCACAACGATATGCTGCTGCTAATAATCACTATCAGGAGAAATTTGATGTTGATCAGCCATCGTCATTTATCCAGTATCTCGATGCCAACAATCTCTATGGTTGGGCAATGTCACAGCATCTCCCAGTGTCTGATTTTCGGTGGGAGAAACCATCAGAGAAACTCCTGAACAATATACTGAATACTCAAGATGATTCCTCATCGGGGTATATCGTCGAGTGTGATCTGGATTATCCACACGAACTTCATGAGGAGCACAACGATTATCCAGTTGCTCCGGAACGTCTTTCCGTCAATGAGGACATGCTATCTCCATACCAGCAAGAGCTTGTTGATAAACTCAATTCTTCAGGAGTAGATGCTCTCAAACTTGTACCAAACTTGAGGGACAAGACAAAGTACGTTCTCCATTACCGAAACTTGAAACTCTACACTCAGCTCGGACTACGTTGTGTCAAAATTCATCGTGCTCTGAAATTTACTCAGACACCGTGGCTGAGAAACTACATCGAGAAGAATACAGACCTCCGGAAGAAGGCACAGGATGATTTCTCTAAGGACTTCTATAAACTGATGAACAATGCGGTGTTTGGGAAAACTATGGAGAACGTTCGGAGGAGAGTCAACATAAAATTGTTGAGAAGTCGTGAGGAGAAGAAAATCAAACAGCTTGTTGCCAAACCAACGTACAACCGCCATGTGATCTTCAACGATGACCTGGTCGGGGTACAAAGTAACAGGACAAAGGTCGTCCTCAATAAGCCCATATATGTTGGGATGTCGATTTTGGATCTCTCAAAGACACTCATGTATGACTTTTACTACAATCACCTGAAAGCGATGTATGGCTCTGATGTGAGACTCTTGTACACCGATACAGACAGCTTGGTTCTTCATTTCTTTACTGATGATCTGTTTGATGACATGAGTGAGTTTCTTGAGAAGTATGATACAAGCAATTATGATCAATCACATCCGTTATATTCCGAGAAAAACAAGAAAGTTGTTGGCCTGTTCAAAGATGAACTCGGTGGGAAACTGATAACTGAGTTTGTAGGACTTCGCTCCAAGATGTACAGTTACTCTGGTGAGGAAAGTGGAAAAAGAGCAAAGGGGGTGAAAACAGCAGTGCTCAAGAAAACTATCACACATGATGATTTTCGAAATTGTCTCTTGGATCAATCCGTGTTCCATCGAGAAATGACAACACTCCCGGAGTCATAGACACGTCATTTTCGGAGAAACAGTTAATAAGATAGCTTTATCACCATTGGACACAAAACGATATATCACAGAAGATGGATGTAGTACGTTAGCGTTCGGACACCATGAAATACCAAGATATCTGGCTGAGGAGGGGTTTGATAGAAGCATTTCATTTATGAGTTATGCTCCGGATATGATGAAGCAGTTTGTCCAGTGATCATGAGAAAAAAAAGATATATATATATATGTTTTTTTTGAACAAACTGCGAGGAGACAACAATTTGATAACCGCAATCAGTAATACAAGCTGGATCGACATTTGTGTACACTGTATTCATGTATTGTAAAACTGTGGAGACAATGTGCAATAAAACGATGAATTACTTTTACTTTTCTTACACATTCGATTCTCGATAGTTCTTCCATATGACATCAAGTCTTTGTTGTGATTTTTTACATTTTGGAATGAATGGTTTGATCTTGATCACATCATCTTCATCAGCAATGAGTTTCGAAAGTAGGAATGGGTAACTCACTTTGACTTTTTTCTCTTTGTTTGCTACTTCCTTGATCCTCTGAATTTCATTAACAAGATTGTTGAATGAGGTTTTGCTAAGATATTTTGGTAAACCAACCTTGTTCAGGGTTATCTCCAACCTTGTTTCGATTCCTGTTCTGGTATTGGATTTTTCTATTTCGTCGAAGTAAATTGCGGTATCATACAGATCATTTTTCTTCATCTCATACACCTCAAGATCCTGTGGAGTTACTTCATTCTCCAAAATCATCAATTCTATATCTGTAGAAAACCATACCTGGTTTCTATAGTCAATGTAGTCCGCTATCATCTTATCTTTCCTGGTGGAGTGTTCATCATCTATCCATGTATCCATGACTTCTTCTTCTTCTTCTTTGTTTATAGAGCAGTTGTCATCAAACCACGCATTCATGATTTCACTTCTAAAAAAATATTTTTTACTTTTTTGAAACTCGGATGTTGAGCCATAAATAAATGTAGAAGAGAAAAGGACATATGGATACGAGTTAAGAGTAACTCTCCATCACTGTAACATGATACTTTATACAGTCAGAAAGTGCAATAACTAGGCACAAAACTGACAGAGTACTGAAACATTCGACGTCCTGACACCTAGCTTCAACACATCTCCGTAGCGCTAACCGACAGCCTTCCAACTTGGAAGGTTCAAGGTTATGGAAAGACCAAAGAGGGGAAGGCAAGCGCAACGAAAACGAGCAAAAGCTACAGTCCCAACGGAACAAAGAATGTCGATTGTTACTGGACGATGACGAGACCAGTACGATATTTGACAAAGCGGTCTAACTACAATTCGAAGCAGCAAAGCAGCACACCACCCAACTTGGGTGGGTCATAAATATCAAAGATAAGTAAAGAAAGGGAAGCTTTGCGAAAACGAATTGTACAAGCCGAAAGCCAAACTCCTACAGTACTCCTCATGCATGACATTGTGATGGACTAGTTGACTACAAAACAAGTTGTTTCACACGACGTACGTTTCGCCGTATGGTTCGTGACGGCTCATCAGGTGTGCAATATGAAACTCGGATGTTGAGCCATAAATAAATGTAGAAGAGAAAAGGACATATGGATACGAGTTAAGAGTAACTCTCCATCACTGTAACATGATACTTTATACAGTCAGAAAGTGCAATAACTAGGCACAAAACTGACAGAGTACTGAAACATTCGACGTCCTGACACCTAGCTTCAACACATCTCCGTAGCGCTAACCGACAGCCTTCCAACTTGGAAGGTTCAAGGTTATGGAAAGACCAAAGAGGGGAAGGCAAGCGCAACGAAAACGAGCAAAAGCTACAGTCCCAACGGAACAAAGAATGTCGATTGTTACTGGACGATGACGAGACCAGTACGATATTTGACAAAGCGGTCTAACTACAATTCGAAGCAGCAAAGCAGCACACCACCCAACTTGGGTGGGTCATAAATATCAAAGATAAGTAAAGAAAGGGAAGCTTTGCGAAAACGAATTGTACAAGCCGAAAGCCAAACTCCTACAGTACTCGTCATGCATGACATTGTGATGGACTAGTTGACTACAAAACAAGTTGTTTCACACGACGTACGTTTCGCCGTATGGTTCGTGACGGCTCATCAGGTGTGCAATATGAAACTCGGATGTTGAGCCATAAATAAATGTAGAAGAGAAAAGGACATATGGATACGAGTTAAGAGTAACTCTCCATCACTGTAACATGATACTTTATACAGTCAGAAAGTGCAATAACTAGGCACAAAACTGACAGAGTACTGAAACATTCGACGTCCTGACACCTAGCTTCAACACATCTCCGTAGCGCTAACCGACAGCCTTCCAACTTGGAAGGTTCAAGGTTATGGAAAGACCAAAGAGGGGAAGGCAAGCGCAACGAAAACGAGCAAAAGCTACAGTCCCAACGGAACAAAGAATGTCGATTGTTACTGGACGATGACGAGACCAGTACGATATTTGACAAAGCGGTCTAACTACAATTCGAAGCAGCAAAGCAGCACACCACCCAACTTGGGTGGGTCATAAATATCAAAGATAAGTAAAGAAAGGGAAGCTTTGCGAAAACGAATTGTACAAGCCGAAAGCCAAACTCCTACAGTACTCCTCATGCATGACATTGTGATGGACTAGTTGACTACAAAACAAGTTGTTTCACACGACGTACGTTTCGCCGTATGGTTCGTGACGGCTCATCAGGTGTGCAATATGAAACTCGGATGTTGAGCCATAAATAAATGTAGAAGAGAAAAGGACATATGGATACGAGTTAAGAGTAACTCTCCATCACTGTAACATGATACTTTATACAGTCAGAAAGTGCAATAACTAGGCACAAAACTGACAGAGTACTGAAACATTCGACGTCCTGACACCTAGCTTCAACACATCTCCGTAGCGCTAACCGACAGCCTTCCAACTTGGAAGGTTCAAGGTTATGGAAAGACCAAAGAGGGGAAGGCAAGCGCAACGAAAACGAGCAAAAGCTACAGTCCCAACGGAACAAAGAATGTCGATTGTTACTGGACGATGACGAGACCAGTACGATATTTGACAAAGCGGTCTAACTACAATTCGAAGCAGCAAAGCAGCACACCACCCAACTTGGGTGGGTCATAAATATCAAAGATAAGTAAAGAAAGGGAAGCTTTGCGAAAACGAATTGTACAAGCCGAAAGCCAAACTCCTACAGTACTCCTCATGCATGACATTGTGATGGACTAGTTGACTACAAAACAAGTTGTTTCACACGACGTACGTTTCGCCGTATGGTTCGTGACGGCTCATCAGGTGTGCAATATGAAACTCGGATGTTGAGCCATAAATAAATGTAGAAGAGAAAAGGACATATGGATACGAGTTAAGAGTAACTCTCCATCACTGTAACATGATACTTTATACAGTCAGAAAGTGCAATAACTAGGCACAAAACTGACAGAGTACTGAAACATTCGACGTCCTGACACCTAGCTTCAACACATCTCCGTAGCGCTAACCGACAGCCTTCCAACTTGGAAGGTTCAAGGTTATGGAAAGACCAAAGAGGGGAAGGCAAGCGCAACGAAAACGAGCAAAAGCTACAGTCCCAACGGAACAAAGAATGTCGATTGTTACTGGACGATGACGAGACCAGTACGATATTTGACAAAGCGGTCTAACTACAATTCGAAGCAGCAAAGCAGCACACCACCCAACTTGGGTGGGTCATAAATATCAAAGATAAGTAAAGAAAGGGAAGCTTTGCGAAAACGAATTGTACAAGCCGAAAGCCAAACTCCTACAGTACTCCTCATGCATGACATTGTGATGGACTAGTTGACTACAAAACAAGTTGTTTCACACGACGTACGTTTCGCCGTATGGTTCGTGACGGCTCATCAGGTGTGCAATATGAAACTCGGATGTTGAGCCATAAATAAATGTAGAAGAGAAAAGGACATATGGATACGAGTTAAGAGTAACTCTCCATCACTGTAACATGATACTTTATACAGTCAGAAAGTGCAATAACTAGGCACAAAACTGACAGAGTACTGAAACATTCGACGTCCTGACACCTAGCTTCAACACATCTCCGTAGCGCTAACCGACAGCCTTCCAACTTGGAAGGTTCAAGGTTATGGAAAGACCAAAGAGGGGAAGGCAAGCGCAACGAAAACGAGCAAAAGCTACAGTCCCAACGGAACAAAGAATGTCGATTGTTACTGGACGATGACGAGACCAGTACGATATTTGACAAAGCGGTCTAACTACAATTCGAAGCAGCAAAGCAGCACACCACCCAACTTGGGTGGGTCATAAATATCAAAGATAAGTAAAGAAAGGGAAGCTTTGCGAAAACGAATTGTACAAGCCGAAAGCCAAACTCCTACAGTACTCCTCATGCATGACATTGTGATGGACTAGTTGACTACAAAACAAGTTGTTTCACACGACGTACGTTTCGCCGTATGGTTCGTGACGGCTCATCAGGTGTGCAATATGAAACTCGGATGTTGAGCCATAAATAAATGTAGAAGAGAAAAGGACATATGGATACGAGTTAAGAGTAACTCTCCATCACTGTAACATGATACTTTATACAGTCAGAAAGTGCAATAACTAGGCACAAAACTGACAGAGTACTGAAACATTCGACGTCCTGACACCTAGCTTCAACACATCTCCGTAGCGCTAACCGACAGCCTTCCAACTTGGAAGGTTCAAGGTTATGGAAAGACCAAAGAGGGGAAGGCAAGCGCAACGAAAACGAGCAAAAGCTACAGTCCCAACGGAACAAAGAATGTCGATTGTTACTGGACGATGACGAGACCAGTACGATATTTGACAAAGCGGTCTAACTACAATTCGAAGCAGCAAAGCAGCACACCACCCAACTTGGGTGGGTCATAAATATCAAAGATAAGTAAAGAAAGGGAAGCTTTGCGAAAACGAATTGTACAAGCCGAAAGCCAAACTCCTACAGTACTC